AACTTGGGTGTACATTTATCGCTGTGGTATGATTCTTTTAATTCTTTTGGGAAGATACCCTGCAAAAATCAATAGCTTTCCTGTACATGAACAACTGAGAGAGAAACCGGTGAAACAACTCCCTTCACAATAGCATCCAAAAAAAAAAAAAAAAAAAAAAAAAAAAAAAAATACATATATATTTTCTATGGGGATCTTTTTTCAATATATTTTTATAACCTTATATATATATATATAACCTTATGGGAAATTTAGTTTATTCAGTTCATCATTTACATTGTATGTAATAAAGCATTGTAAACATATTTTGGAGACTTTCACTATATGACAAAACATCTTCTAAATTATTCTTAATATATGTTCTTTCTCACATGTTTGTAGCTCTTCACGGGCAATAAAAAGCAGCCTGTTATAGTGCCCATGTATGCCGCAGGATTGGTAAGTATAGAAATGTCTCTGCATGTATTTATCATTACTGCATTTTCTCTGTAAAATCATCATATACAGAATGACATAGAAATGTATGTTAAGAGGCATTTCATGTTGGAATCTTAAGGGTGTATATATGTATGTGTCATATTTTTTATTTCATAAATCCCTTCAAGCCTTTATCTCAGGACATTTTTATATTCTATTATAGAAACTATCCCATTTTAGATTGAAAATTATTTTTATCTTGGTAATATGAGTGCTTACAACTCTTTGTAAAATGTACCTTTGATGGACTTTGTTTCTTCTGTAAACTTGTTTATAAAATGAAGCTGAAATACCTGAAGGCTTAAAGATTTTTGTTTTAATCCAGTTGTTATTAATGTTAAATAATGCAATATTACAGATGTTCATAAAAGTTTAGAAATACCAATTCAAAATAAATGGAAATGAACCAGCAAGATACATAATTCATTCTTAGTTTTTCCATTAATACGTTTAAATGTGTTAAATTTTGTTTTTTCAGTTATGTCAGTTAGTCCAAGAAAACAGGCATTTTCATTCTTTTCTTTGACAAGACTCAATCACATTTTGAAGTTTGATTTTTGTGGGTTTTGGTGTGTCATTGAGTAATTGGTGAATAAAAAGATCCTGTCAAACTAAAAATATTATGTTATTATAATCAATCTCTTAGAAGTGCTCTAAGAATGAAAGAAAAAAATAAGGAACTCCTGGCATTGAATTTAAAATTTACCACTTTACTCGTAAAAAAGTGCATTTGGTATGGAATTTAACCTCTTCCCTCTACAAATCTTTTCCTTGAATAAACACTAATTATTGGTATTGAATTGGAACATTTTCAGTTTATTTCAGTTTTGCAGTTTTGTGGAACTTTATGTCCTCGAGCTCTGTCAATTTGTGCTCTTTTGTAAATGGTTACCTTGCATTTTTAATATCTTAATGATCCCTGTACTTTCTTTTGTTGTAGTACCAGAGAACCCAGAACTTTTCTTTAACTTTTTAGTTACTTGGATTTTTTTTTCCCCCTCAATAAGGAGCACTCCAGAGATGGTTAATGTTAGATTGTCCTGATCTAAATAGGAATTATCATTCAGGGTGCTGGGGACAGTGAAATACTTATGCCTCAACACTTTAGTGGGTTCTTTGAGATTTATGAGACATTAGAGGCTGAGGCTTACACTTTTTCTACCTTATCATGTTCATTAGTGATGATTTTATAACATCTAATACAAAGTTTATTTAGGAGTGCTGGGGATTTAGCTTAGGGGCACTGCACATGCCTTGCAAGCACAAGGTCCTGAGTTCAGTTACTGGTACCAGAAAAAAGAAACAGTTAAAGTTTATTTAGTGAATATAAATGTCTGTCCTGTGATATCTTTCATTTAGAAACTTACTCTTTGTAATATGAAATTTTAATGCTACCTAAATTTTTCCCACTGTTCAGTAATCTTTGATCTTATCTGGAAGGATAGTATCTCCAGATCATAAGCCACTTGGAATCCTTGTTAAAATACAGATTAGTGGTTACCACCTCCAGTTTTCTTATTCAGTAGGTCTGGGTTGGGTCTTGAGAATTTGAACATCTAAATTCCGAGAAGCTGACACAGTAGCTGCAAATTAGAGACAACAATTTGAGAACCATGGGCTAAATATTTCAAATTAGAAAACTTGGCTAGTACTAGTAATTGTTTGTCAGATGTATTTTCTCTTTGCATAAGAGCATACTAGAGATCCTATATAATGAATGTATTTAGACTATGAATTTTCTTTCATTTTTCTAGCTCCTACTGAAGCTTTTTTTTTCTATTTGTTTTGTTTTTGTTTTTGAGACAGAGTCTCGTTTTGTAGCAAAGGACTTGAGCTTGAGAGGCAGGCAAGGTGCCACTGAACAAATCCTCCACCTCTGTTTTGTTTTGTTTTTTTATTTGTTTGTTTTTTGTTTTTTTGTTGCTTTTTATTTTGTTTTGTGGTGTTTTTGCGGGGGAGGTGTTGAGACAGGGTCTCACTGTATAGTTGAGACTGACCTGGAACTTACTATGTAGCCCAGGCTGGTCTCCAACTCACAGCGATCCTCCTACCTCAGCCTCCGGAGTGCTGGGATTACAAGGGTTCACCACCACGCCTGACCCTTGTTTTGTTTTTGAGATGGGTTCTTGCTATCTAGTTCAGGCTGACCTTGGAACTGTGTAGCCTAGGTGGGCCTCGAATTCATAGTGATCCTACTGTCTCAGCCTCCTGAGTGCTGGGATTGGAGGCATGCACCACCACACCTGGGGCTTTCAAGTGATATTTTTAAATATGTAAAACTGCATTTTTAGGCCATTATCCTGGATTATCCATTTTATATATTACATAGTATTGATGGAATGTGCTGGGTTTTTCCTTCGTTTCTGTACCCATCCTGGGTATCTTTCTTTAGGTTAGAAAGTATTAGATTTAAAAAAAAAAAAAAAAAAAAACAGTGGGACATGTAAGATGGTTTCCTGTCTACTTGGCCAATCCAGGAAACTAAGTACAAAGACTCAGGGTGGGAGTGGTAGAGCAAGTGCTTAGCACTTAGCTTAGCATGCACTGGGCCCTGGGTTCCATCTTAGCACTGCAAAAACAAAAGTACTTCAGTGCCTTAGTGGAATTAAGGATTCAGAATCAAACGCTAAATAGCACACTAAAGACTGTATAGACATTAAGATGTTATATGGCATGATTCAGAATCAGCTCTCATTTCTCTAGGCATCACTATGTATGAAGTTTGCCCTTTTCTGCAATTTCAGTCTTAAACATCATAAAAATGTTGGATTCTTAGAACCTAGATGTGATAAATCATTGTATTCCTGCCACACCCGCTCCAAAGTTACATTTAATCTTTGTGTAACAGTAATAACGATACTCTATATTACATCTAATTGTAAGTACAAGGTTTTCTAAATCTTTTGATTTTAAGGGTTATTGTGAAACCACTCCCCTTATGTTACTATAGGACTTTCTGTAAATGAAATTTTGAAAGGTCCATTTTTGTCTTTAGTACTTTCCAGATGACTTGCATTTCCTCTTCGTCTTTTTCTTCACCAGTTCGCTTATAAAGTTTATGGGTTAATCCTCCCTGAAGAATGACTAATATGCCTTTTGCAGGGTATGTTAGAGCCCACCAAGGAACCATTGAAACCACTATCTGCTGCAGAAAAAATTGCTTCCATTGGTCAGACAACCACCATGACAGCAGAGATGAACACATGCACATCTGATCAGTTCCAGGTAAAAATACTCATGTGGCTACAGGAGTGTGTATGCATGTCTGGACATACATGTCTACACACAATGATTTTTTCCTTAATATATAACGGTTCTAATATTTTTAAAACCTGATTTAATGATAGACATGATTGTGATTGTTAACATACTTTGAAATACAGTGAACAAATTACCTCTAATTTTCAAATACATAATTGGAGAACAGGGTGAATGTAACTGCTTAAGTCAGTGAAGCCTTAGCCTCTTGACCTAAAAATGAAGAGCATAAATTAGTTATTTCTACAGTCTCTTGCAATGTGAGCATTGTACAATCACAGTTACTGAAACAAATCTGGTAAGTGTTGGGTTTTGAGAAATAATGGGAAACAGTGTATGTATGCCAGCCCTTCAGGTCCTCTGTGGTATATATTTCTTGGAGTCCTCTGAAATTTGAGAAAGTAACAAAAGCTGACTCACCTTTTTTGTTCTTTACCTCTGGCACATTTAAGCACAAATTTTATTTCAGTCTAGTATGTTTCAGTCCAGTATGCTCTTTCACTTTTTATCTGGGAAAAAATAATAGCCTAGTTTGGTTCCTTACTCTTTCCACATCAAATAAGAAATTGATTCAGTACCTTTTAAAATATTGTTTAGAAGTTAACCTTTTTACATGAACATTACCATTTCTAAACCATATTCCTGACCTGCATGTCATTTCTTGACCTTAAATATCATCAGTTGTATCTAACACCAAAATGCAGAGCAGAGCCTTTTCCAAAAGATGTGCTCCATTGAATACTAATCCCCAGCAGTGGTCTACTAAAGTGATGTTCCAGGGTAAAGTAATTTGGAGAAATACTGTACTTCATATTATAACCTCATAACTGTCCTTGGAGATTCACAACACAGACATTAAGGATTCTGAAGAATCCTGCAGTAAATAATTCTATTTAATTTTAATTTATTCTCAAATGTACTTGGCCACAGGACTTTTGGGGGATTGGGCAAAAGAGGACTCCTATAGGACTAGTGTTCACCATAGATGTATAAAGTATAGTCCTATACTCTCAGCTATTTTTCAAGAAACATCTAATGTTATTGCTCTGCACCACTTAGTTTATTCTTGGGAAGAAACATCACTTTAAAGCTAGCTCATTACTGGCACTTAATTAATGGGGAAGGGAGCCTGTTACATACAATGACTGGCTTTACTGACAGTTTGGCACAAGGTGGTTTGGGCAAATGATTCAGGAAGTAGAATCTGTCCTTAGTTACCTTCCTTTCCTTACCCTCATTTTACCCTCTGGCTATTAACTGCTGCCAGGTGCCTACCCTATTTATACAGATTCTAAAATTTCCTCTCTCATAGCCCATTTCCACTTCTACTTCCACCGTCATTCTTATTCCTACAGATTAGTTATTGGAAGGTACTTGGTACATTTACTAAAAATCAAACTTTCTTATTGAGACATTTATTGCAAGTTTTTGTTGCCTCCTTCCCCTTTTCCTTATCCCTTTAACTAAATCTTCATGTTGAGCCACATAAGTTAGTGCATATTTTACTGGCATTGGTCATTGCTTACCATTTTTGTCCCATTTTGATCTGATCTTATTATATACTTTGTTATATTTGTACAACATAGCTTGTCATCTTTCTTACTTAATGTAGACTTGACTAAAAGCATATTCCAGATGACCTAATAAAGAACATGTATAGTAATTTTATTCTGAGATGCATGACCTCTGTCACTGAATTGTAAGATCCTCACTTGGCTCTGTACCTTTGATTTCGGTTAAAAGAGTTAACACACTGCTGGGTGTGGTGGCACACCTGTAGTCCCACTACTCAGGAGGCTGAGGCAGAAGGATCACTGTGAGTTCAAGGACAGCCTAGATAGACTGCATAGTAAGACCCTTTTTTGGCCATATAGTAAGTAATACTGTTACATATTCCCATTAGTATATTTTGCAGATGAAACATCCTTTAGTGGGTAAAAGCATAGCAAATTTTGTTAAGAAAGACCTGGTTCAGTACATTCATATATCTGTTTTCATTTTTGTTTTTGTTTTTTTGTTTTTTGTTTTCCATAAAACATATTCCATACTTCTTTTTAGCATTCTTGAATGATGGCCTTCAAACTTAATACGGTTGTGTAATTCCTGTTATGACTGCATGCTTTGGATCTGCCTGTTCTATCACACTTTTGATATACTCATCAAGTTTTATTGTGCTTTTTCCCCAAAAAAATTGTCTTGAATTTGTCAGTATTGTAATTATGATATTTCTGGTTGAGGAATTAAAAGAGCTTATGTAACTGTTAATGGTATTTTTTTCTAAGTTACTTTTACCTGAAAACATGGCTCATCTGTAAAAATTAGTAGTGATACCTTCAGATTGTTTTTAGTTTTATCTTTATCCACTGAATTTCGAGGTCTCACTATTTATGATGCCATTACTGATAGATCGATATCAGAGGCTGAGTGTGGTGGTGCACATCTGTAATCCCATCTACCTGGGAGGCTAAGGCAAGAGGATGACAAGTTTAAGGATAGCCATGGCACCTTAGCAAGACTCTCAAAATTTAAAAGGGCTAGAAATGTAGCTCAGTTGCCCAGCTACATGTCTAAGGTCCTAGGTTCAATCCCTAGGAACAGGGAGGAAAAAATCAATACTTAAACCATATGCCCTGCAGGACAGTGAATTCTTTGACTGCCAGTTATCTAACAGCTAGTCACTATTAGCAGCTTCTCTTAGCCTACTGGATGGGACTATTTCAATTGGATCAGAATTTTAAAGCTGAAAGAAAAAAAAACAATTATACCATGCTCCATTTTTTTCAGTTTATAAAAAGGAAACATTTTGGGAAGGCTCTCAGTAGTGGTATAGCTAGAACTAGAATCCGAACTAGAATCCAAATCTTCTGTCTCAGTCTCTCTGTTTTTGTTTTCTTTGTTATTTGACTTTGTTTCCTTAGTGCTGGGTCTCTGCAGTAATTATTCATACCACATTGCTTGAAGTTATTCTAAAATGCTTCATTCCAATGCTTTCTCTCTGAGTCGCCTCATTTACGAATGTTCTTAGTTTGCCTTTTCTTGCTTAGGCGTTTTGTTTTTCATTTATTTCCACAAAATTCATTTTAGCACTTCATTATATTTTTGGATATGTCCTCAAAATGCTGTGTACCTATATGATATGAAAAGCAAAAATTCTACTGAACTACTAAGCACCACTGCTATATCATTTAGATAGAACATGTTAATGTTATACCTTGCATGATTTATCCAGAAGTATTGTTACTGCATAAACCTGTTTTGTCCAGTTACTCGATTTTTT